GCTGAGGCTCAAGGGAAAAGAAAGGGATTAGTCAACACAAACCCTTGGCAATTTACAAATTATGACCTTGTCACGTCTCCCCCCACCCACCCCTCCACTGTCCATCTCCCAGGGAGGAGGCCACATGCAGATCCCTGCAATCGGCTCCCCCCTTCCAACCCACCCTCCCAGCACCACCACCTACACCACCAGTCCCGAAGGGACCATCCTCCCTGGACTCTCTGTGCCTCCACTTCCCATCTGTACCAGTGTACATCCTCTGGTCCAGCCATACCCAGAAGGGAGAATTGGGATCACACTAGTGGGGCGGGAGAAAGCATTTAGGAACCAGAGGAAAGCTGCATGCTTCATCGTTGCCACATCGCACCCTGACCGGCCCATCCTCCCCGAGACCCCTCTGCAAGGGGATGCCCAGTGCCACACAATTTCTAAAAGTTTAAAGTAACTGCATTTTTAATTTTATTGTATCCTCAGCATTACTTTGGATATCATTGATTTCTAAGTATTTTTATGTTAACATGCTCATAAAGTATTCTACTCTAGACAAAAAGGTTGCTTATGTGAAGCTTCTAGTTTCTCCATGGGAGGAAGATGTGGCAATTTGCTTCCATAAGAGGATAGAGTGGAAACGTGCGGGTATTCTGTTCTGCCTCAGAAACAACTGGACAGCAGTGAGTTTGGTGTGCAGGGTCCCTTCTTAACTTTAGAATGTCCTAATAGTGTAATCTGCACCTGAAGGCTTTGTCTCTACTAACTGAGCATTATTTTGAAAGAATGTGTGCTAGTTGATTATGCAAAGCTATCTCAAGTTGCCTTAATTTATAGTTTTCAATTGATGAACTTTTGTTTAGTAAAAGTTTTTCATTTTCTTTCTCCAACTCTCATCATGCTCGTTATTTGTAATGTAAATACCAGATATCCCCTATACGTTACCTTCTTTCTCTTTTTTTTACTCATTTTATTGGGGGCTTGTACAACTCATCACAGTTCACACATGCATCCATTCAAGCACATTTGTACATTTGTTGCCATCATCATTCTCAAAACATTTGCTTTCTACTTGAGCCCTTGGTATCAGCTCCTCATTCCCCCCCTTCC